AATTATACTGTGTTTTAATTAGTTGGGAATAATCTGCCTGATATCGAACTCCCCAAGTCTGATCCAGGGTGACAAAGTCAATGGGAAGTGAGTTTTCATTCTCACCTCTTCATGGTTAGCTCCCCTGACTAGACACCTGCAGGGTCCCCCTCAAGGAAGTGGTCTAGGGGACTGACATTACAGATGGCCAGTCAGGGCTGTAAGATTCTGGACTAGCTATTTCTTGGGGAGACTTATCTTGGCATTCAGTGGGATTCCTTATCTGATGCCATCTGGGCCTCTTGGATGAAGATGGTATTTCGGTTGTGGGAATACATTCTTTCTCTCGGGAAGTTCCCTTTGGGTTTGGATTCTAGTCTGGAAAAGACTCCCAATAGGCACCCCTCTCTTCCCTCTCCCAGGACCTTACCTAGGATGTCAAGTGGGATGATTTGTTGAGTTTGGTACAGAGAGGTAGTGATCTGGCAGATGTAGGTCCCCTCATCCTTCAGAGTGAGGTTGGGTAAGGTGAGAGAGGCATCCCCAGCCTCATGCAGCTGCTCAGGCTCCAGCGTAGCACCCTTGCGCTTAGCCTGTGCCTGCTCTGGCTGCCAGCTGTACACCAGCTGGCCACTGCCTTTATGCTGCAACCGCCACTCCACACCCACGAGGTCCAGGCCTGGTGCCATGGAGAAACTGCAGGGCAGGGAGACGGAGGACCCCAGCAGACGACGCAGGCTTTGGGTCTCTGATGTCACCTGGAACTCCACTGTGGAGAGGAAAAAAAAGGGTGACGTGTGGACTGTTTCCTCCTTGAGGTCGCATGGCCTCTGAGCTGTGGACAGACAGCTTCTCCAGCCCCTGCCCTGGACGGTGGGAACCGGTTGAATTCAGTTCCTGTCTAATGGGGCTCTGCATGGTGCACACGGGCTCCTGAACTCATGATCCTCCTGCTTCGGCCTCCAGTGCTAGGGTTGCAGGTGTGACAACCCCACCCAGCTTTACTGTTCAATTCTTCTTCTTTGTGCACTGGATCCCTTGTTACCATGAGTAGCACGCTCCCCAACCTTGATGTGCTCCCGAGATCATTGTTTGGTGACTATGAAGCAGAATGGCCTTGACTTTCTGCTATAAGCTATAACTGCACATGGGAAGGAACACTGGGGGGTGAAGTGTTGTGATATCTACGGTCTAGTCAGTTCAAAGGGAGAATGTGCACCGTTTTAGCAGAGGCAGGGAGGAAGTATGACAAGATGAACAACTGGTAAACTAGGTCAAGGCTGTGTGGGTGTGTGTTATTTTACTTATTTGTAGTTTTTTTTTTTTTTTGAGACAGGGTTTCTCTGTGTAGCTCTGGCTGTCCTGGGACTCACTCTGTAGACCAGGCTGGCCTTGAATTCTCAGAGATCCATCTGCCTCTGTCTCCTGAGTGCTGGGATTAAAGGCATGCACTGCCACAGCTTGGCTTTATTTGTAGGTTTGAATAATATAAAAGAAGCACTAAGCTCCACAAGGCCTGTGGAAGATGCTGGACATCTTTTCTGATGTGTCAAGGTTCATTTAGATAGGACCATAGAGGCAGTGGGGGTGGTAGTGCCTACCTGTACTGTCAGTGACCCAGGAGGCATAACAGGATCATAAGTTCAAGGCCTGCCTGGGCACCTTGTTGAGATCCCCATTTTGCAATCAAAACTGAAAAGAGCGGTAGACTTGTGTTAACATGCTCTAGGGTCAATCCTCAGTACAGGACAAAATAATAATAAAGCTTTGTGTTTTAGGGCCTTCCAGGGATAGGAGAGGAGGCCCCCATTTTCATCTTCTGTGGACTTGCTTATCTCCTTTTGGAGGCAAAATACTGAACTGGACCCTCCAGATACCTGTCATTTTGTTCTCAACTTTTTTGTACCTGGTAGGTGGTGCTAAGTGAGAGAGGGCAAGGGCTGTTTTTTTTAATTAATTAATTAATTTTATTTTCATTTATTTTGCATCCTGACTACAGTTTCCCCTCCCTCCTCCTCTCCTCCCCTTCCCTCCCACCCCGTCTCCTCTCTACCCCCCCATCCACTCCTCCTCCGTCTAGCCTCCTCCCATGGGCATCAACAAAGCACATCAAGCTTAAGCAGGCCCCAGCTCCTCCCCGAGGACCGGGGTTTATTAATAAGAGGCACAGAACACCTTCTGTCTCCCTGTGCTCTGCTGTAATTACCGGGGAGTACCAGGCCAGCCTCGCTGTCACTGGAAGAAAACAGGTGTTTGGCTAACTAAGAGCAGCGGCAACATATGTGGACAGAACAGCCTCATGCGTCATCCCCATGACAGCCCAGTGAGAGAGAAGTCAGCTCCAGTTTGGAGGAAATACATGATGATTTTTATTTATTTATTTATTTGTTTTTTTTTGAGACAGGGTTTCTCTGTGTAGTTTTGGTGCTTGTCCTGGATCTCGCTCTGTAGACCAGGCTGGCCTTGAACTCACAGAGATCCGCTTGCCTCTGCCTCCCAGTGCTGGGATTAAAGGTGTGCGCCACCACCGCACACAGCTTACCTGATGATTTTTATATTTTGATCCTTATTTAAATAAGGATCTCCCAGCATCCCCTGTTCTGGACTCAGGATATGTCTGTGGGGTACCCCAAGAGCACCTACATGATAGATTATATTGTTCCTTCTTTCTATCCCATGTCTCACAACTAAAAAGAAGAAAGAGAAGCTTGAGGAAGAGGGAAACTTGGGGCTGCTGAGATGGTACAGTGAGTAAAGGAGCTTGCTGCCAAGCCTAGTGAACAGAGTTCAGTCCCTGAACCCACACGGTAGAAGGAGAGACCCAATGCCCACAGTTGTCCTCTGACCTCCACCTGTGTGTTGTGGCATGTGCACACGCACACACACACACACACACACACACACACATACACACACACACACACACACACACACTAAGTGCAATGCAAAGGTAAAATAAACAGAAAGCTTCCTCGCGCCCCTGCCTTTCATGTCCTCACCTGCAGTCCTCACAGTACCCTGGGGACTCAGGGGTAGGTTCAGCGCAGGGTGCCGGACAGCTCCAGTGTCAGCATCTCCTCGAGTCTTCATCACCATGGAGACGCTGGGGCCCCCTCTAGACACCTGCATGTTGCCGATGAACCAAGCTGCTCCCTCAAAAGGGGCCTCTCGTCCGGCCTGGAGGAAATACTGGGAGATCTCACAGGTCACTGTCTTCCCGCTGCAGTCGGCGTGGAGCAGGGCCTCCGCCTGAGGCATCTGGACCAAGTCCACTGGGGAGAAGGGCAGCGCACAGAGGTGACGCTGGATGGACACCACCAGGCAGATGGGAAGCAGGCGTGGGTGGATGTGATTGGGAACTGGGCTGTCCCCATGGAGGAAGCCTAGGAAGGAAGGCTTTTTTTACCTGAGGCCTCGAAGATAATTGGTGGGTCATCTTTGGCCACTGTGCTTGCTTGGAAATCGGTGATGCCGTCTAGGGAGCCGTCATCCAGCACCGGCACCTGCTTCAGCACAAGCAAGGCCTTCTCCCTGCCCCCGCTGCTGGCAAAAGCCCCTCGATGCCTGTCTTCTGTCACCAAGAAGCAGTCTAAGACTATGTCCGTGGGCTGCCGTCTTTCAGCTGTGGGGGGCTCTGCAGGGAAAGCGAGATCAGCACCTTCTTCCCCCACACTTGCTTGGGTCCTATCATTTATAAACCCAACTTCTGGGGAGGCACCTGCTACTCAGGCAGCTACTCAGTGAATCATCTTAAGTTCTGGATCTGTCCTGTTCAGAGCCAGAGGGATTTATGCTTTTAAATTTTTTTTTTGTATTCCAACTGTGGAATACGAGGAAATGTCTTGAAAGGAAGTCCCAGTAAAAAAACAAAGGAACAAATACTGCCTCGGGGAAGAGGAGCTGGGCACTTGCTGTTCCTAGGGACGTTGACAGCCATCTTCTCATTCCCCAACCTGCCCGGAGTCCTCTGCTTTCTGCCAATGCTGTGAACTCTCTCCTCCCGCTCAGGGAGTCACCTCCCAAGTGATTTCTCAGCCTGGGAAGCCCCTTCTTCTTCTAAGTGGTGGCACCCTGCCCTTTCCACAGAGGAAGCCCCTCTTTACTCTGTGTGTGTGTGTGTGTGTGTGTGTGTGTGTGTGTGTGTGTGTGTGTGTGTGTGTGTGTGTGTTCAGCTGTACCCCTCTCTCTCCAAATTGGGTGCTCCCGTCGTTAGTGCCACACTCCTCTGCTGGGCTTAGAGGGTGACAGGAAGCTGTAGCTGTGCTGGGTAGGTGGCTCCTTGGACTCCCTTCCTTCCTTCCCCCACCGCCCAGCCCGATCTCGGCACTCACCACTCCCTGCTGCCCCGGAGAGCGCCAAACAGAGCAGCAGACACCAGCCGGGCTCCGAGCCCATGGGGGCTGCTCCCCGGCTCCGGGCTCCCCGCAGGCTGCCTTCTCCACAGCTCCTCCCCGGCCGCGGCGGCGGCGGAAGAGAGGGTTCTTTTGAGCACCCCTCACTGGGCTAACCGCTCCTACTCTGTTTTCTTGCTCTCTCAGCCCGCTTCCCTTTCACTTTCACTTCAGCTGTCTTTTGTCGCCCGAAGCCATTAGCAGCCGCGGCCAGAGCCCTGTTCACTGTTTTGGGTCCTCCCTGCACCCAAGAGACCCCCAGGTGATTTCAAAACCTGACTTGTGTTTCCCATCAGCCCTATGAGAGAGCCCGAGAGGGGATGGAGCCGGAAGACAGATCCCTAGTACTCTGGTCCCTTCATTTTTTTAGAGCCATATGAAATCCCACTGGTCTGCCCCGGTGAAAACTTCCTGTTCAGGTCCATGACCTCACCGGTGAGATGGGGTGTGGCCTGGCTGTGGGATTGGAGTTTCAGGAAGCTGGAGAGCTACAACGTGGAGTTTCACTTTAAGCTATATTTGTGTGTGTGGTGTATACACGCGTGTAGGGTGGGTGTGCACGGCCATGCCTGTGGGTGGGAGGTCAGTGAGGACTCTGGGTGCCTTGCTCCATTTTCTTTTGAGATGGGGTCTCTCTCTGAACCTGGAATTGTTTGGTGGCCAACAAGCACCAGTGATGTCCTGTCTCCGCTCCAACCCCTGCCCTCCTGGCACCTCAGCCCTTGAATTACAAGCACACAGGGCCACATGGAGTTGGTTTTTTGTTTTGTGTTGTGTTGTTATTGTTTTTTCTTTCCTTATGTGTGTGCTGGGTATTTTCTTTTTCTTATGAAGGGTGCTAGAACTCATCCTTCATGCCTTCTTCCCAGCCCCCATCACCCCTTCCTCCTCCTCTTTTTTTTTGGGGGGGGAAGAGAAACAGATTGTAGAACTTTCACAGCTATTACTGGAGTCCCTGGGCATCATAAGGCCAGGCTCTGGGTTCCAATGCTTGCCTACCCTGAGAGAAAAGGACAGTGTATACAGAACTAGAAAAATGAATTTATTTACAGTTTTAGCTTAAACTGAGAGAAAGTCTCAGTCTCTGCTTTGCTCACAGCAGCACCAGAGCTTACGGAGATGAGACCTGAGCAGGCTGTATATGTGTCTGTAGATAGTGTCTCCTGAGGCAGGTGAGACCTTCCGGCCCCAGGGCCAGTGCGGGACTTCTGCTGGTGGCCCATTCAAAAATTTTAAAAATTTTTATTTTTAGTCATGTGTCTGTGTGTCTGCGTGAGTGTATGCTCTGCGTTTGTGGGTGCCAGAGGAGGTCAAAGGTGTCAGCTCCCCTGAAATGAGTTACAGGTGGTTTTGAGCCATCTGATGGTACTGGGAATCAAACTCTGGTCCTCCAAAAGGGCAACATGTGCTCTTCACTGCTGAATCATCTCTCCAGCCCTTGGCAGGCCATTTTCACCCTCAGCATGTGATTTTGCCAACTATAGGGCTTCGTTTATAATAGTGTGTTTTACAGCTAGAGCCTGGGCCTCCCCGAGCCTGCTGGACCTCACATTGGGGGATCCTGTTCTTATCGCTATCAGTCTCAGAAGGGCGTTTTGTCAAAGTGCACACAGGAAAGGGTTCTGATGACGATGGTAGGGGACATCCCCCTGGATGGTGCCTCAGTGGAAAAGGCCCCGCCCCATCCTGCCTCAAAGGTAGGAAGCAGGCTCCGGTTTCCTGTAGTCTTCCTGGATGGGGATGGCACTGCCCTCCTCCTCCCTGGGGCAGCTGTAAGGACAGGGCTCCTCAAGCACTGCCTGGCTATCTCCGTCTGTGGAAAGACAATTGGCTGAGTCTTGGTCAGCAGTGGGGAGAGAGGGGAATGAAGGTAAGAAGAGAAGAGAAAGCAGGGGGGTGGGGGGTGGGGGGAGGGCTAGGGGAGGCTGTGGGAAGAACTCATGAAGAGTGAGAGTAGGGTGAGGATGGGATGGGGCTTTAGCTGTGGCTCACAGAGCTGAGATGGTGGGCTCGGGGAAGGAGGGAAGGCCTGTCTCTTACTTGGTCCATGATTTCGTCTTTGACGGAAGAGCAAGATTCCACCCAGGATGAAGACCAGAAACATGCCGGAGAAGGTCACAAAGATTCGGATACAGTGTGAACTGCACAGGGGTCTTTGGGCTGTGACAGGCAAGGGCACCCAGAGGCTTTGTAAGAGGATCTAGCCTTAGACTCCCTCAGCCCAATCCATCCTTGCACAGCAAGCACCCTTATGCACTGAACTTTCTCCATAGCTCTGTACCCCTATCCCTCACTCACGCTTAGGGGCTTCCCAGTGGCTGCCCTCTCGGCCTCTTTCCTCTGTGCTTTCTCTGAGGGATGGGGATTAGGGAGAAAACTCACATGGCCAGTGGGTGTAGAGAGTTGAGGCAGGAAACTGCCTAGTGTGTGCAGGCCAGACCGTCCTGGCCTCTGGTATCTCTGGAAGAAAGAGACAGAGTGATCACAGCAGGAAGCCCACCGCACCCCCGGGATGCACCGGGCTGAAAGCCTGGGATTCTGCGGGAGACAGAAGGAAGACAAGTCGGGCCCGGAACCTAGCCGGGAGTCAGTGCAGAGTGGACAGCGCTAGGTGGGCTGGCCCACTGCCCCCAACAGTCCGGTGGTCGAGGGGCAGCCTGCTACATACCTTGGGCGTAAGGTAAGTGGGTGGGTGGTGGGTGTGGGCCTGGGGCCTCAGGCGGCTGTATGGGCAGTGCAGGGTTGAGAGGAGGGTCGCACTCCGTACATTCCCGGTCCCTGCATTGCCAGCCCTGGGAGCAGGTGCACTCGGCATTGGCAGCGACTGTGCAGTTTCGAGTGAGAAGACCTTGGGAGAGGGGAGGACCAGGAGAAACAGGATGCCACAGGCCCTTAGGGACCAGAGGTGTCCACCCGCCCCTGCCCCTCACTGGAGACCTTCTCAAAGGCTGTGGATGTCTTTCCATTACCATCATCTCATCCTTGCCCGCCCCCATCCCCCACCCCTCCTCCGCCACTGCCGCCTGCTACCTTGCTATTGTTTTTGAAGAATGGTTGACAGAAAATTCATGGGCTAAGAAACAGAAACTGAAAGGAGAGGATTGTATAATTTTCTTTCCTACTCACTGCTACTTTAAAGCTTTTTATTGGCATATCATATACTTCTGTGGAGATATACACATCGTAAGTACAAAGCTTAAGATCTTAAGATTCAGTACAAGGGGCAGAGTGGTAGCTCGGCAGGAGAAGGTACCTGACGCCAAACCTGGCGACCTGAGTTCAGGCTTTGGGACCCCCGTGTTGGAAGAAGAGAACTGACTTCTGCAAGTTTCCTCTGAGTTCCACCAGCAAACTGTAGCTAGCATGCACTCCTCCCACACAAGTAAATACATAAATGTAATTTAAAAGTTAAAAAACATTGCCAGGTGTGGTTGTGCACACCTTTAACCCCACCCAGCACTCGGGAGGCAGGAGTGTGGGGCCAACTGGGTGTGAGTTCCAGGACAGCCAGGGCTCCATAGCGATGTCTGTCTCAAAAAATAAATAAAAAGTACAAATTAGACTCACAGGTATAACCAGGAGCTCATTGAGGAACAGCAGATAACCAACACTGTCCCCTTTTGTCCTCTTGCGGTAACTAAGCTCTCACAAAGTGGCCATCACCATGACTTCTGCCATGAGCCATATGAGCACAAAACAACTGTGTGAATGGAATCAAGCAGTGTGACCGCATTCCTGTCTGGCTTCTTTTACTTAACCCTTTGTGAATTTCACCTATGCCGTTGGCTCTAACTACAGATCATCCTTTCTCATGGCTGTATAATATTCCGTTGAATGGATATACCACCAGGCACGTATCTGTTCATTCTGCTTCCAGTGAACATTTGAGGAGTCTGTAGTTTTTAGCCATTAGGAAGTGTCCCTATGATTCCTGGTATGTTTTTAACTTTACCAGAGACTAACTTGATTATAGGCATCCATTACCCTTAAAATAGAAAGTTTAGTCTAGTGTAGGGATCAGTGCTGGGAGCTGCCAATCAGTTATACCGGGGGCAGGGTACTGTGCTGGACTTGCAAGTTGTTGGGGTTGTGGGGGAAAGTGACTCCCTAGAAGGCAACAACATCTGGAGGTGGGATAACACTCCTGGGAGTCCCACAGGTAGAAGAGGGATGTAGAAATAGTGAATGGCCAAGACCTGCATCAACTCTAACGCTTTTTTTTTTTGCTTATGGCTTGTCAGGACAGAGAGAACGACAATTTCTCTATAGTCCTATGGCCTCTTTTCTGAATTCTGATCAAGTTGCTACGAGAACTTAGTTTCCTTGTGGCCTGTCAGGAATTGTGGGCCAGTTTGGACCAGGATCTGCTCAGGAAGAGTAAGAGAAGCCTGGGTATCAGTGGGGGACTGCGGTGGTGGCGGTGGTGGGGTGGGGTGGTGGGGTAAGGGTGGGGCATGGTGAAGGCAAGGCTGGTTCCGAACACTGCTGGGCTGGGCTGCTGACAGGTGGATGGATGGAGTGCTGTTGTCTTTGGTTGGGAGCACCAGGGACCTAGGGGTCCTTACTGTACCTGAACTGAGCATAAATTCCCCATCTTAAAGACGTGAGCGTGGGGTCTAGCGAAGGCCAGACCCAGTGGGCCTGCACCGTTGCCTTACTCCGGCTGCCTGATACCTTGGGTGAGGCTGAGACCCACGGATAAAGGTGATGGAGCCAGTCTGGAACGCAGTGAAGGGGGTGAGGGCAGACTGGCTATCAGCAGAAGGCCTTTTGACAAGGCTACAGAGTGAGCCAGGAGCTTTGACTCAGGAATTCCCACCCCTGTGGAGGCTGCTGCCAGGGAGGGAGAATCTCATTTCTAAGTTGCCTCAGGAGTATTTCTGTTGCTTTGATGGGCATGGTGGCACACGCCTTTAATCCCAGACTTTAGGAGACAGATGAATCTCTAGAGGAGGCCAGCTTGGTCTATATATCACTCCAGGCCAGCCTGGGCTATACAGAGAAAACTTGTCTCAGAAATCCAAAACCAATCAAGCAAGCAACAGCAACAATAAAATGATGTTGCTTTTATTATGAGTTTGTTTTCCTTGTTGTATAAAAATATGGAATGTTTCATGAATCTGTGTGGCATCCTGGCACAGGGCCATGTTCATCTTCGTTGTATCTTCCAGTTTTAGTGTATGTGTCGCCTAAGTGAACCCTTGATTATGACTAATCTCCTTTAATCTGATAAGGATCGAGCCCAACCACTGAGTTGTGGAAAAAACTTTTTTTTTTTTTTTGAGACAGGGTTTCTCTGTGTTAGAACTAGCTACATGGACTAGGCTGCTTCAAACTCACAAAGCGCCACCTTCCTCTGGAGTTCTGGGGAATGTAATATTAAGCCGGGCGGTGTTGGCACATACCTTTCGTCACAGCACTTGGGAGGCAGAGGCTGGTGGATCTCTGTGAGTTCGAGGCCAGCCTGGACTACAAAGTGAGTTCCAGGACAGCCAGGGCTGCTCAGAGAAACCCTGTCTTGAAAAGCAAACAAACAAAGAATATAATATCAAAAGGCAATTTCGTGAAGCCACATGGTTAAGTCACAACTAAGTCTCATTGGGATATAGAAACCCCCCCCCCTTTTTTTTTTTTTTTGGTTTTTCGAGACAGGGTTTCTCTGTGTAGCTTTGTGCCTTTCCTGGGACTCACTTGGTAGCCCAGGCTGGCCTCGAACTCACAGAGATCCGCCTGGTTCTGCCTCCCGAGTGCTGGGATTAAAGGCGTGTGCCACCACTGCCCGGCAGAAAACCCCCTTTTACTTATATGAAACTTTTAACACTTGGAAAAATAACTTTGATTTAGGCACAGTATAGTATTTCTACAGGAATTATCTGAAATTCCTACAGACAAGGCTTTTGTTGTTATATTTGCCTCAGCATAACCATCTGAGACGGTCCTGTAAATTGCTGTTAGAATTTACTATTCAGCTGCCTCCACTTTCTAGAACATATTTTTTTCTAACGTTATTAAAATCCATTTCTACTTCCTACAGATTTTTTTCAACAGCAATTCATTTTTTTTTTCTACATGTGAAAAAGTGTCTCACTGGCAACCGTTATTTCAAAGGGGCCTCTTTAAAGTGTGCTATTCTAGTGTACGATAACACAGACTTCCTGAATCCCTAACGGAGGTAGGGAAATGACAGCAGAGTTTGAAAAGAGAGCTATAGATATCTTACCTCTTCATTTGCAAAAAGTAGAAATTTATTAAAAGCAAGAACAGATTTATTTGCTTTTCCCCCCAAAATGGCTTTTGTGCAAAAAAGTTGTTACTCCCGATTTCTGGTGTCATTTCCTAACTCTAAGTTCTAAAGGGCTGGCCTGCAAATGTATGTCCACTGTAGGAACACTGGAACACAGGCAGTTCATTGGCTGGAAGTTGCTTTTCTGAGACCTGGGCTTCTGGAACTATCCCCACTTAAATTATATTTTTCACTTCTTTCTTCCTTCCTTCTTTTCTTTCTTTCTATCTTTCTTTCTTTCTTTCTCTCTTTCTTTCTCTCTCTCTCTCTTTCTTTCTTCCTTCCTTCCTTCCTTTCTTTCTTTCTTTTTCTTTCTTTCTTCTGTCTTTCTCTCTCTCTCTTTCCCTCCCTCCCTCCCTCCCTTCCTTCCTTTCTTCCTTCCTTTTTTTTCCAATACAGTATTTTTGTGTATTAGAATTCCAATACAGCTCTGGTTTTCCTGGAACTTGCTTTGTAGACCAGACTGGCCTCAAACTCACAGCGATCTGCCTGCCTCTGCCTCTGCCTTCTGGGAGCTGGGATTAAAGGTGTGTGACACCGTCCAAGGCAAATTATATTTTTCCACTTGTGTGTGTACTCACGCCCACATCTGAGCTCGGAGGACAACTTACAAGTTGGTTCTTTCCTTCTTCTACCATGTGGCCCAGGGAGTGAACTCAGGCTGCCAGGCTTGGTGGCAAGTATCTTTGCCTGCTAAACCATCTTGGTGGCCTTTTTTTTTGAGACAGGGTCAGGCTGGCCTTGAACTCCCGTGATCAAGCGATCCTCCAGCCTCCACCTGCCCTGCCCTGGGGTTGGGATTATGAGTATGTGACTGCACCTGGCAACATCACCCTTTTTATTGTCTGAATCCTATCTACAGAGACCTTCTCACTGGTCCTTCAAATCTGTATCTCTTCCACTAGATAGCTAGGCACGCCACGCTTCGGCGTTGGCTCCACTTCCCAGGAGCCTTGACGCTGCTGAAGCTCTCTGACCCCAGCCCTTCTGGCTTCTCCACACCGGCTCCGCCAGCTTTGCAGCCCCGGATTTGCGCGGTGTCACCTTTTGCACACCCTGCCCCTCTTACCAGAGTTACAATGCCTGCAGCTCTCGCAGTGGGGACGGGTGTGGTAGTCTGGAGAGAAGGAGACGCCTGGTATGCACCGGCCACACAGGGCAGCTGTTCTGTTCTGACTACAGTCATTCACAAAGAAAGTACCTGTGAGCAGAGGGTCCAGAATCAAGGCCCAGGCAAGGTGATTCCTCCAGGGCTGCCTGCCTGACTTTGCTTGAGCTCAGTCTTACCCCATGCATCCCCCTTCATCTTAAACGGCATCTCCCCAGCCCTGCTGAGGTCCATTCTTACCTGGCCCGCACATCTGGCAGCACAGTCCTCCCCGGGTCCAATAATGTCTGGCTGGACAGCTCTTGGAAGCTGGGGTAGCTGAGAGCCCTACCAAGGTCCCCAGCAGGCAGAGCCAGTAGGGAGGTGGCCAAGCCATGGCTCCTGCCTAGGGAGATCTTTTCTGAGCCCCAGCTGCTGGTGCCTCCCTCGGCACTGGTGCCTCCTCTGTGCTCGGGGCAGCAGCCACAGTGCCTCCACTTGGGGGCTAAGCTAGTCTCTGAGGGCAGTTGTGGCTGTTTTTTTCCTCACAGCAGCCTCCACCCCCTTTCTTTTCCGCACTCTAGAGAGGCTGAAGGGGCAAACCCAGCTCTGCTGTTCTCCGCAGACACGTGCCCTCCTTGGCTTCCACCACCCTCTCTCAAGAAGCCAGGGGCTAACGCATCTGCATATGCTGCTTTTACAGAAGAGGGTGCTGCATGTGGGTGCAGCTGCCTGTCCTGTTCACAGGGCTGGACATTAGATGCCCTCATCTCTTCCTGGCATGTCTCCTCTCTCACACGCATCCCTTTCAGAGATTAAAGAAATAAAGGAGGCAGACCGCAGGCTACTTCTGAAGTTCATGGGGTCAGATTGGTTTCAGAATCACACCATTTTCAGATTCTCCATAAAACTAGTGCCACAAAACACCCCCATTACAGGTGGGGTAACACAACTAAACATAACATAGTTTTGGGAGGTGGGCTTGTATATCCCAGGACAGCCTCAGATTTGCTTTGTAGCTGAGGATGACTTTGAAATTCTGAGTGTTGCTGATGTTGCAGGGTGTGCCACCATACCAGGTTTATGTGGTGCTAAGGATTGAACCCAAGCCTTTTTGCATCCTGGGCAAACACTACCATCTGAGCGATATCCCCAGCCCTGAACACAACAGACATGCAGCAAGCTGTAGCCTGCAGAGAGGGGACGCGTCGTGATGACCACCAGCCTTGCCTAACTGAGGTTTGGTTTTATGACCACAAGCTACTCCAGCATTGCTTATAATTAAAGGTCAAGAGCTAGCCCTGTATCACCTGTGTCCCTGTAATCCTTGTGTGTGTGGATGTGTGTGTACATGCTCAGGTGTGTGCGTGTGTGTAGAGGTCAAGAGACAGCCTTGGTTTCATTCCTCAGGCACATTTACTATATTATTATTATTATTATTATTATTGCTATCATCATCATTATTATTTTGAGGTAGGATTTCTCACTGGCCAGTAGAGGAGGCTGGCTGACCAGCCAACCCTGACCCTTCCTGTTCCCATTCTTCCAGCACTGTGATGAATATATGCCGCCATACCCAGCCTTTTAAAAAACATGGGTTTTAAGCCGGGCGGTGGTGGCGCACGCCTTTAATCCCAGCACTCGGGAGGCAGAGCCAGGCGGATCTCTGTGAGTTCGAGGCCAGCCTGGGCTACCAAGTGAGTCCCAGGAAAGGCGCAAAGCTACACAGAGAAACCCTGTCTCGAAAAACAAAAAAACAAAAAACCAAAAAAAAAAAAAAAATGGGTTTTGGAGATCAAACTCAGGTCCTTGTGCTTTCCTGCTGAGCTGTCAATCCATCCAGATTTCCTTTCCTCTTCATGACAGCCTGTGACACAGATGTGACCCACTGCCCGTGGGACCATTGCCAACCCTCTTCCTTGACCTAACCCCATTTTTATCCTTCCAGCCCGTGACACAGATATGACCTACTGCCCATCAAGACCCTTGCCAACTGTCCTGCTTGACTTAATTCCATTTATAATCCTTCCTTCCTGCTTCTGGCTGGGTTGGTCACTGGTGTCCTCAGGCACCTGAACCAGGACCCCTCATGGCCTAGGGCACCTGGGATTAAAGGTGGGGTCCTATATGGGCCATTTTAAGCCTGTTGACTAGCTCCTCTGGGAAATCTGATTGAGGATGCTGGAGTCTCTGCACTGAGCTGTACGGACCGTTGAACTCCCCCACTCTTTCGCCGGTGACTTATCTCAAGCACACTTCTCATTTGGGGGCTTCACGCTGTTTCCACACTGCCGGTGAAATGTCACAACCCTGTGGTCGCACCTGGGGGATGTTAGATCTGTTTCTCTATCTTGTGCTTCAGTTTCCTGTCTCTTCATTTTTTCCACCCTCCTTCCTCCCCCCGCCACCCCCAGCCCTTCAAGGGTCCACTCAAGCCCAGGAGTCACAGTGTGTTATGGTTTATAGACTTGTTCAAGGGAAACCACCCTCCGCCATGTGCCCATCACAGTCCAAGACAATTCTGGGACTGGAGAATTTGGTTCCTCAATCCCGGGCTCCAATAGCTTCACTTTTAATCACAAATCTTAGGGCAAATGTGATGGGGGAGGGTAGCTGATAGCTGGCCCTGCAGGAATAGGTGCGACCCTGGCATTGAGGAACTTCAGAGAAAGTGTTGCTGCAAGGGGGCTTCGAGTGCACCGAGAACTTCACATCCTGACCAGCCCATGAACTGGTACTCACCTGAGGTTTCCATTCCTAGAATCAAAGATTGCCTTCCTCTTCTGCTTACTCTTCCGCAAGAGCCAGGACAGGAGCAGGGCCTGCCTGGCTCTCCTGGAGCATCCCTGGTATTATGTTTTGATGTGGTGTCCCCCAAAAGGTCACAGCAGTGGTGCTATTGGGAGGAAAGTTAGCTTCATCTACAGGGTTCTGCCTTGATGAGTTCCTGACTAAACAGGGAGTGGGGCCGAGTCAGTCAGTGGCTCCTGGAATCAAGCCTATGAAGGGCGTATCTTGTCCTCAGGCCCTTCCTTCCTCTCTCTCTCTCTCTCTCTCTCTCTCTCTCTCTCTCTGTTTCTCTACTTTCTAGCTGCCATGAAGTGAGTAGTTTTGCTCTGCCACACCCTTTCACCATAAAGTGCCACAGGACTAGAAACAATGGCACTGGCCAATCATGGGTTGACATCTCTGAGACTGTGAGCCAAAAACAAGTCCTTTCTCCTTTGAAGTTGTTTGCTCAAGTATCACAGTCATGAAAACCAACATACCACCTTTCATCTCCATGTTCTTTTTATCCTGTGAAATTGGAACTCTGAAGCTGGACATGATCATGCATCTCTGTCTATAGTTCTAGGTCCTCGGGAGACTGAGTGGGAGGATCAGTTGAGTTCAGGAGTTCCAGACCATTCTGACCAAAATAGTGAGACCCTGTCTCTCTCTCACATACACATACATACAAGATAAACCAAAACTGCATACTGACTAAACCATAATGCCCCAATTTTCCCTTTCCTTAGCTCTTCATACACTTACTGATATTTGTGTTTCTTCTTTGGAGAAATGTTTATTAAGTCTTTTGCTCATGTTTTAATCATTTTTATTTTAGTTATTGTTTTAGATACTAATCTTTTATTGGAAATATGCTTTTGAAAATATTTTAATAACTTAAAAGTCATTTTAAAATTAAAAAATAATTTATTGTTTTTAATGTGTATGAATGCTTTTTTTTCCTCCCCTGGCAGGAATGAAGATATTCTTTGTGTACATAAATAATTTAAAAAATGGTCTCCAAGAAACTGGAATTTCCCCAGGAATTTTCATGCTGGAAGAAGGAAAAGGCTGAAGTTTGTACCAGCCAGAGGAGGACCTTGCCTCTCAGTGTTGTTTACATCCAGAGAACCAAATATGTGAGATGGAAAAGGTCAGTTCAAATCACTGTCGAATCAAAGTTACTCATCACTGGTCCCCGAGCTGTGTTGCTTCTCTTGCATTATCAGGTGGACCCAACGTCATCATGTGGTTTCCTTTCTCTCCTCTCTCTCTTGTTTGTTTTGAGATAGAGTTTCTCTGTGTAGCCCTGGCTGTTCTTGAACTCACTGTGTAGACCAGGCTGGCTTTGATCCAGAGATCTGCCTGTTTTTCCTCTCCAGTGCTGGGATTAAAGGTGTGTGCAGTCTCGCTGGGCATATCTCATTGGTTTCTATGTGGAAATGGAAGAGAAAAAGAGGAGGCCGCATGAGGACTCAGCCCAACATTGCTGATTTAGAAGATGAAAGATGAGATCAGTGAGCCTCAGGATGTCCAGGAAAAAACTAATTGCCACCCAGTGATGTGGTGGTATTGTGTTCCCCAAAATATTGTGCACCCTAATAAACTTATCTGGGGTCAGAGACAGAACAGCCACTAGATACAAAGGCTAGAAAATGGTGGCACTCACACCTTTAATCCTAGCACTCCAGAGGTAGAAATCCCTCTGGATCTCTGTGAGTTCAAGGCCACATTGGAAAGGCCAGGCATGGTGACACACGCCTTTAATCCCAGGGAGTGGTGGTAGAAAGCAAAAAGGTATATAAGGTGTGAGGACCAGAAACTAGAAGCATTTGGCTGGTTAAGCTTTTAGGTTTTGAGCAGCACAGTTCAGCTGAGATCAGATGTAATTAATACAGGCAGGGAAACCTTCCCTGTGGTGGTATTGTGTTCCCTGAAATATTGTACACCCTAATAAACTTATCTGGGGTCAGAGACAGAACAGCCACAATATTAAACATAGAGGTTAGGCAGTGGTAGCACACACCTTTAATCCTAGCATTCCAGAGACAGAGATCCATGTATTCAAGGATACAGCCAAGCATGGTGACTCACGCCTTTAATCCCAGAAAGTGAGTCTTTAATCCCAGGGAGTGGTGGTAGAAAGCAGAAAGGTATATAAGGCATGAGGACCAGAAACTAGAAGCACTTGGCTGGTTAAGCTTTTAGGCTTCTAGCAGCAGTTCAGCTGAGAACCATTGGGATGAGGACACAGAAGCTTCCAGTCTGAGGAAACAAGACCAGCTGAGGAACTGTCGAAGTGAGGAAGCTGTGGCTTGTTCTGCTTCTCTGATCTTCCAGCATTCACCCCTATAACTGGCCTCAGGTTTGATTTTATTAATAAGACCTGTTAAGATTCCTGCTATACTTCCCTAAATGTGGGGGGGGCAACATCCCATGGGCTGGGGTCCTGAACTTAATAAAAGGACACAGCACCCACCTCCTTCTGCTCCCTGACAGCATAAGCAGTGTGACTGGCCACCTTCTCTGTCATGATAAGCAAATCCTCTTGAAATGTAAGCCCTTCTCCCCTTAAGTTGCTTTTGTTAAGTATTTGACCTTGGCGATGAAAAAAGTGACTCACATACCTTATGAGCCAGCAATTCCATTAGCGGGTATAGACTCGAGAGTTAAAAACAAGTTCACAGCCGGGCGGTGGTGGCGCACGCCTTTAATCCCAGCACTCGGGAGGCAGAGCCAGGCGGATCTCTGTGAGTTCGAGGCCAGCCTGGACTACCAAGTGAGTTCCAGGAAAGGCGCAAAGCTACACAGAGAAACCCTGTCTCGAAAAACCAAAAAAAAAAAAAAAAAAAAAAAAAAAAGTTCACACAAAAACTTGTGCATGTAAGAATGCTCATAGCATTATGGTTTCCTTTTTTAAATTTTTTTTGCTTAGCTGTACAGGGATTGAACATGGGACCTTATGTATGCTGGGTATCACGGTTAGTTTTTGTCAACTTGACACAACCCTAGACATACATAGGAAAAGGATCTCAACAACTACAGAATTGTTTCCATCAGTTGGGTCTGTGGGGCATTTTCTTAACTGCTCACTGATGTAGAAGGGTCCAGCCCACTGCAGGAGGTGGTATGCCTGTGCAGGGGGGCCTGGGCTGGATAAGGAAGGTAGCTGAACTAGCCACGGGAAGCAAGCCGGTAGGCAGCATTGTCCCAGGTCTTCGTTTCAGTTCCTGCCTGTAGTTCCTCCCTTGGCTTCCCTTTCCTACCTCAAGTTTTTTGTCGTGGTGTTTACCACAGCAGCAGAAGACAAACCAGGGCACGAAGCAAGCACTCCACCACTGGCCTGTTGTTGAGGAATATTTGCTTACACTGTGAAGATGTGTCTTTGCCAAGGCGCCTTCTGACTGGTTTAATAAAGAGCTGACTGGCCAATAGCTAGGCAGGAAGAGGTTAGGCGGGACTTCTGGGGACGGAGAGGACTACAGGAAGAAGAGAGACAGAGTTGCCAGCCAGACTCAGAGGAAACAGGAGGTGCAAGATGGAGGAGAGTTAACATCACGTGGCAGCGCATAGGTTAATATAAATGGGTTAACTTAAGTTATAAGAGCTAGTAGAGACAAGCCTATGCTAAAGGCTG